GTTAATGAAGTTTTACTGTAGTTTGCTATTTTAATTATATGAGCAGTGTGCTTTATGTTTTTTTATAGGTACCAAGGCCAAATCCCAGCTGAATCAATAGGACAGTTGGTGCTTCTGTCAGGTCAGGAATGTTTATTTGGTGCGGAACATCTGAAATACATGCTGCGTCTGTATTGGCTGAAAGCTCATCTCTTCATGAATCAAGGGAATTCAGAGATTGCTATGCAGTCTTTACACACAGTAAGGAAATTTTTATTAGTACACGGTCTATATCATTTGTTGTTCCTTATCATTGGTGGATATAGGTACATGCTTTATGCCCCAGGGTAGTGTACAGGCCAACGAGTTCCAAAATTAAAAAGAATAAAATGATTTGAACTTTCTGTTGATTTCAGATAAAGAATGAAGTAATTGTTATAACTTATCATTTCATCACTACCAAGGAAAACTGTTATGGTTTTATTGTAAAAGCATTTACACACATTCCAATCATGTCATATGATCAGTAGTGCATTGTTTCTGTTCTTCATTTCTGTAACTCCCACATTAAAGTGTAATGGCTGTGGTATTCTGCAAGAATGGAAGCTGTCCTGCTGCACAGTGCTGATGTGTTAAGTTCCTCAACTGAACAGGACTACAGTTGTATAGTGTCTTGTTTGTTTTCATTCTTAGCCCTTTGTTTTGTGATACTGTCTGTGGTTTATTTTACTTTAATTGCAGCTGGCGTGTAAGGCTGACAACCCTACCGCCATCTTTGAGCTGATTGTCTAGATAATGTGGATCCCTCAACGTCTCACAACCCTATGGGCCTTCACGGCATGGTACAGGGATAGATTTTTTTTATATACATATGTGTTTTGAAAAGTGACTTAGTGAATAGGTATCTGTGAACATCATTACTTGAAAGTATAACATGAATCATAGTATGCATCTGGAATTGAAAAGCAGAAAAAGAATAGAGAAGAACAAGAGCAAGCAGAAAAACAGAAAAATAGTTTGTTTTTATATGAAACCTTTTTGTTGGGCTTATAATGAGTCAGAGACAACTGATGAAATGGCAGCTGTGACAGGTGCAAGTAGTAAAGGTGTGAAGACAAGAGAAACTGAAACACCAAGTTTTCAGCTTGTCACAAATCATGTGGCTGATTCAATCACTTTTCAAGGTAATGTATGTGTAGAGACTGAAACTATGTCTGCTGAAAAATCTGACTCCAGTCAGAATACAAGAGAAAACAGATTCTGCAGTGGTTCTCTATGTCAATGACAAAACTTTATTGCCTGATTTTTGTTCATCAGATATGATAGAATATTATGTCATAAACAAACCTGAAAATGTCACTTGAATTGAGGATTTGAAAAAGAAAAAATGAGGCATAAAGATGAAAATAGCTTAAAGGTATATAAGAAAAAAAAAACATTTTTATGTCATTTAGGAAAATGGATAAAAAAAAGACTGGTTGGTGTTTTGAAAAACATCCAGATGTGTATATTGTTATATTTCCAAATAACTTCTTGATGCCAGGAAAGCAACCATTTGCAGATAGATACTAAGGCTGGGCTTGAATATCAGAATTATTAAGGGGATATGAAACTTCAGAGATTTACATAAGGCAAAGCAACTGAAATGAAAGAACCAATTGACACATATTGGTGCAGTTTCAAACAGAATGCTAATATTTGTGCACATCTGTAAACATGAAGCTATTCTCAAGATTAGGACCTGCTTTCATAGTTCATGATGAGCCTGATTCTTCAGATTGTGAAGGCAGTTTCTTAGCCTGGCTGAATTTGATGGTTTTCTGAAATGACATCTGGAAAATTGTTGCTGTTGTGGTTCTGGTGCATCTAGTTATTTATATCAAGTTTGCAACAAGTTTCTTGTAATGGCTTCTTGATCATCTGTGAAAAACCTTTCATTCATTCATTTATTAACATTCCATGGATCCGTATATGGCTGGAAGAGGAGTGGATATATAAATAGTCAGTGACAACAAGACAAGTCACATCAGTTACATAAATACAAATTAATTATACTTAATCCATCACAGTTACTCACATTATTCGAGACAAATCACACTGATTAAATCATTAAACAGTTATAAAATGTATACGTAAAAGCATGCAACATATTACCATCAAACAAGACTACAATAATTTAACATAAGCAGCTGGATAAGGTCATCAATAAAGTCTATAAGGCTTTTTGGACATGCAGAAGCATCTCTGGTAAAACTTGGGGACTCCAGCCGCACATTATGCATTGGATATACACTGTGGTTGTAAGACCCATAATTACATATAGCGCCACAGTATGGTGGCCCAGAGTTAACCTTTAACGCCCGGACTTTTAAATTGCCGGCAGCTCCCTACGGCCGGAATTTAAATGGCCCTAAGTCTTTAACATTGCAGACTTTCGGAAAAAAATACATATTTTCCGTTCTATGCAACATCGGAATATGAACTAAAAAGAATCTGAAAGACAATAAAATTTTCTACATATACACAAAAGGGCAGGTTTTACAAATGAAAATTAACTGTGATTATTTTGTCATGAATTGCAAAATATAATCTTTATTATATACGTTATGAAATTCTAAAGACTTACCCCTTGTTTTTCTTCAACCTTGAATCGTGTTGGTGATGTAAATATGACGACACTATATGCAATAATATTTGGTTCGGACTGTACGTGGTTTGGACTTTGTCACTTCACAGTTTACACTCTGACACCCGCGTGTCCCACTCTCAAAGCAGTCCACGAGACACAGCGCAACATCACGCATTACAGTAGAAAAGCCTGCTCCTGCTTTTCTTCTCTATAGAACAAACATGACGTCTTTGTTTCCCATTAGCTGGCCAGCGTTTTGAATGTTTCACTTCCAGTCGACTCAGTTGGGCCCCAGATGAACTTGGCCTCCCCCGAGAAACGCCACTGACCGTGATATTCGCCTCATGTGATTGAAGAATCAAATCACGCACCAAAATTTCGTGGAATTTTTTGTGCATCGTTTTTCCATCACATGACTTGTGTAACAGATATGCATTGAGAATAGTCATATCTAGAAGGTGGAATAACAATTTCTTTGTCCACTTCCATGTCCTTTGAGCAATGTCATAGCTGTTCACCATTCTGTCAGATTTGTCCACAAAGCCCATGTGTGCATTGTAGTCTTCAATTACATGAGGTTTGATAGGATGGCCAGATTCATCTCGGAAGTTGCCATCCAGTGTAGGAAGGTGCATCGAGTTCTTCCAACTCTTCATCGGATTCATCTTCCATCAATATTTCCTCCAGTTCTTCAGCATCGAGGAATTTTGAGTATCTGGCTCGTTTTTGAGGTTCTATCTTGGGGGAGGGGGCTTCCAGCTAAATCCTATACTTTTTGATGATTGAAAAAGCGAGACTGTTAGGAACACTCGCAAAATTGTGATACAAAGTAATTGCAATAGCAGTCGAAAAGTGTCAGTCCGCCACTGATACCGAAAATCACAGTGACGAAGATGTCCTCACGCACAAAGTAACACTGGCTCAGTGGGTTTATACCCCTTCTGAGATACACAATAAAAATGATATACAAAGAAATAAAGGAGTCTGACACTGACTTCTTACTAATAACGAAATATTAGAAAATCCGCCACTGACGTCCTAACTGACAATTCAACACTGCAAACCAATCCATGAATTCGTCACACTTCCTTGAAAGCTCTGGTAGCACTGATATGTAAGCGCGCCACGAATATTTCCTTCTCTTAAGTTCTCAAAACAAAGCTGAACTCTATGGCTCACCAGGTCATAAACAGTCATATCTAAATGTAAATAGTTTCGAAACCGGTACCCTGATAAACAATTTCATTGTTCAGAGCTAACAAATAAACGTCTGTCATGAAAGTTCATGAGTTTGTTTGGGTTTCAAACCCAAGGTCAAACTGTGAGCACTCACAAAGGAAGCATGTGGCTTGCCACTCGGCCAGCCCGGCTTGCTACTTGCTGCCAATAATTATAAAATTCGGCCGTTAAAGGTTAAACTCAAGAGAAGCAAGGCAGAACTTAGCAAATTGCAAAGGTTGGCTTGCTTGGGTATCACAGGAGCAATTCGAACTTCTCCAACAGCTGCACTGGAGACACTCCTTGGACTCCCCCCACTGCATCTACAGTTGGAGGCAGAGGCCAGGGCAGGAATCTACCATCTCCAGTGCAGTGAACAATGGAAACCTAGATCTGATGTTTTCGGCCATGCATAAATAACTCAGGACATGAAAAAAGAACCCATATTACAAATGGGGTCTGACAAAATGATACTGAGACATGTACAGTATATGAAAAACCCTTCACAGTCAGATTTCCTGACAGGAGTGAATGGGAAGACGGGTTTCGGCCTGATAGAAAAGGGGGACTGATCTGGTAAACAGATGATTCCAAGATAAATAAGGGCACTGGAGCTGGTGCGTACTGCTATGGCACGAGGCGGAAACTTAGTTTCAGCCTTGGGTAGTACACGACAGTATTCCAGGCAGAAGTATATGCCATGTATTATGGAGAATCTAGATAGGAACTACAGAAATAGGAACATCTACATTCTATCCGACAGCCAAGCTGTACTTAAAGCGCTTGACAAACACCAGATCAACTCAAAATTAGTCTGGGATTGCCACCAAACTCTCATGGAACTGGCCAATCATAACAGGGTACAACTGATATGGGTGCCGGGGCATGAGGGTATTGCTGGAAACGAAACAGCAGACCAATTAGCTAAGACTGGAGCTGAACATCCGTTCATAGGACCTGAACCAGCCTGTGGCATCTCTATAGGAGTCATCAGAAAGGCAATCAGGGACTGGACAAATATGAATCACAAGAAATACTGGGGATCCTTAACTGGACTCACACAAGCAAAGGGCTCATGTGAGGACCCTCTACTAAACAAGAGAAGGAACTGTTGAAGTTAAACAGGAACCAGCTACGATGGGTGGTAGGACTACTTATAGGACACTGTCACCTCAAATGACACCTCTTCAAATTGGGACTAAGTAACAGTCCAACTTGTGAGAGGTGTCAAGAAGAAATCAAAACAGCCACACATATCCTGTGTGAATGTGAGGCCTTAGCTTGTTTAAGATTGCGCCACTTGGGTCAGTATTTTATGGAACCAAGTGATTATATCGATGTCCCCACATACAAGATCCTGCCCTTCATTTGAAGTGCAGAATTGTTGAGGGGATAATCAGAAGGGGAGGCACAACAGATCACTGTGGTCGCGGTGCAAGGGCCGAGAAGGCCCACTCCTTATACTTTCATTCATTCATTCATTCATTCATTCATTCATTCATTCAAGTGCTTTATGTCTTGCAGTTTGTGCATTAAACCAGCAAAATATAATTGCTTAGTGTGATGTGCGTGACTTCTCGATCTCCCTGTAGTATAGTTATAGCTAGCCAGGTGTATACCCATTCCAGTCTTTCTTGGAGGGTGTAAAAGTATTCTATTTACGTGGTGCAATCCAAAAGTACCCGAAATATGTTAATAAAAACTATTACATCATACCTAGATCCTATTCTGCCCCATCACCTTCAAAGTAGTCCCCTTGGGAGCGCATACACCAATCCCAGCGTTTCTGCCACTTTTCAAATGCATCCTGGAAGTCTTTCTTTGTTAGGGTGTTTAGTACCGTCTGTGTTTCCGCTTGAATTTCCTCAACTGTATCAAATCTTTGCCCCTTCAACTTGATTTTCATCTTGGGGAAGAGAAAGAAGTCGCATGGAGCTAAGTCTGGCGAGTACGGTGGGTGGGGAACAACTGCCATCTTGTTTTTAGCCAAAAATTCCTGCACAATGTAAGCCGTATGCAGTCGTGCGTTGTCATGGTGGAGTACCCAGTCATTCGTGCGCCACTTCTCTGGACGTTTTCTCCTCATGTCCTCCCTCAAACGCCTTAGAACATCGCGATAGAACTCTTTATTGGCTGTCTGACCAGGAGCAACGAACTCCTTATGAACAATCCTGTCAGTATCAAAAAAACAGATCAACATGGACTTAATGTTGCTCTTGACTTGTCGAGCTTTTTTTGGCCGAGGTGAAGAAGGGCTCTTCCATTGCGACGATTGCTGCTTGCTTTCAGGGTCGTAGCCATAAACCCAACTTTCGTCACCAGTGACAACCTTCGAAAGAAAGTTTGGATCCTCTTGAAGCTGTTGCTGAAGTTCCCTGCAGACTTCCAAGCGATGCTGCTTCTGTTCATTTTGCAGCAGTCGTGGCACAAACTTCGCCGCAATCCTCCTCATGTTCAGTTCCTCTGACAAAATTCGTTGACATGTACCATAACTTAGTCCCAAGGTGTTACAGAGGTCTTGGATGGTCAGTCTACGATCTTGCAGAATCAGATCCCTAACTTTCGCGACATTTTCTGGTGTTTTGCCCGTTGACGGCCGTCCCGAACAATCGTCGTCATCAGTCAATGTTCGGCCATTTTTAAAACGCTTATACCAGTCGTAAGTTTGTGTCTGGCCTAAACTGTTGTCACCAAAAGCTCGCTTGAACATTTGGTGCGTTTCTGCAGCAGGTTTCCCAAGTTTAGAACAAAACTTTATACAGACAAGCTGCTCTCTTGGGTCAGCCATCGCAAGACCGCAAACTCATGGAAACACAACAATGGAAATACGTTCACCAACAATAAACCCAACCACTCAACTCGACGCCGCTTGCCACACTGATTCAAGAAGGATGTGTGAGGAGACACCTAGCGGTAATTCGATGTACTCATAACCATTCGCATGCAAAATTCAAATTTCGGATACTTTTGAATTGCCCCATGTATATATGTGGTGGGCCTTCAAACACTTCAGTTTGACTTTACAGTGTAGTTCAAGAAGCACAGAGTTGCATAGTTTTGTGCAGGAGTTTGGTGAAAAAGTGTTTAGTACCAATGGGGAGATATTTATTGCAAGTTGTGTGACGTGAAAGTTACGGCACAAAAGCGATTTACTGTGCAGCAGCATTGTAAAACTTCTAAACATGTTAAATGTTTAAGCATATTATCTACAAAGGATAGCAAACAAAGCTTGTTGTTTAAAAGCAGTTGCACTTCTTCTCCTATTTCTTCTTCTTCTTCTTCTTCTTCTTCTTCAATGAATAATGGGTCACAATTTTTAAAGGATTTGTGTCAGTGGATGGTTTCTTTGAATATTTCAATAGAGCTATTACATAATTGGCACATCAGAAAATTTTTGGAGAAATGCACTTGTCATCCTATACCAAGTGAATCGACGTTAAGAAAAAATTATCTCTCTATATGTTATGGAGATTGATAAATAAGATTCGAACATCTGTTGCTGACAACACGATATGGGTTTCCTTGGATAAGACTTCTGACATAGATGGGCAGTATATCACGAACATTATAGTCGGGACCCTGAAACAAGATCAACCTGGAGAGATATTTCTTCTTAATTTATTAAGTTCTTGAAAGAGCAAATCATTTCACTCTAGCTGTCCTGTTGATAATTCCATGAACTTGTTGTGGTCCAATGGAATACAGCGAAATAATGTCCTCCTAGTAACAGATGCTGCTCCATACATGAGGAAGGCTACCAAAGGACTTCAAATGCTCTACCCAAAAATGATCCATATTACTTGTCTCGTTCATGCATTGCATAGAGTGGCTGAAGAAGTTCGAGGAAATTTTCCGGTTGTAGATAGGCTAATTTCAAATGGAAAGAAATATTCATCAAGGCCCCTCTTCGAGTACAAAAATTTAAAAAAGAAGCTCCTCTAGTGCCACTTCCTCCACAGCCGTTCATCACACGGTGGGGTACATGGTTGGACTCTGTGGCATATTATTGTGAACATTAGAGAACCATTGAGAAAGTGTTTAATGGCTTTGACAGCAGTGAGTCAACATCAATAAAAGCTGTCAAGGACTTACTCTCTACCTCTGGCACAAAATCTGACAGATATGAAGTCAAACATCTGTTCAGTTTCAAGTGCAATAACTTGCCTGGAAGCTGTAGGGACTGAACTCCGTGATGCGTTGTACACTGTAAAAGCATTGAGAATGAACAAAACCGATCTCGTGGTGAAGTAACAAGATTAGAACCAAAATGTAAAGTGTTCTTCATCGGAATGCTGGGTATTCAACAATATGCAAGATTGCAGATATACTTTCTGGTAAACCAGCAACATTTGAAGATGATCAAGAACTGTCACCAAACGACCTGACATTCTTCAGATATGCTCCTGTCAGAGTTTTTCCCAATTACAAAACTATCCTCAGTGGCAGTCAGCGATCTTTCAAATTTAAAAATTTGAAAATGCATGTAGTTATAAATTGCAATTGTAACAGTGAAAATTGAGACATGAATAACTTGTGTTACAGAAACATTGAAAACTGAGATCCGAATAAGTTTGTGCTCTTTTAAATAGCCAGTGTTGGTCTAAAATATGAACGCAAGTATCAGTATTAGAAAGAAAACAAAAAACGGTTTAATCCAATATGGAATGTCATATTTCCATCAGTTTTCTTTCCTTCAGAAACATAATAGGGCTAATTTGGTAAGTAGGGCCTACAATCATATATTCATCATTTTTATGCTTAAACTCTAGTAAAGGTTGTAATAAAAATTGTGAAAATATATGTCACATTTTACACTTTTTAGGTCATATTTGATATGATTTTGGGTCGTAAGTGCATACATATATTTATGGTTTTTAGGTCATAAAAATCTGGGTCCTAGTCATTACCATGAGAACATGAAGTCACAGAAATGGTCTTATGCGGATGTCATATTCTAAGTTAAAATATTGTTGATTGCATTATGAATACAATTTAAAAATCAATATGGCTGTTTCCATTGCTAATTCTGATATCACTGTGTCATGGCTTTCATAGATTTTGGGATACCTTGATGAGAGATGTGACACAGACAACATCGAAAAGGTTTTCCTGCCGAATTGCAAGCACCATAATTATATTAGCAGGGAAGTGGCACAGATATTGCTTACTGCTCTGACAAGGTATATATATTTTCTTTTGTGTGTTATATTATGATGCTGACAGTATCTGGACTATATAGCATTAATTGGTAGGAGAATAGATGAGTTGGAAAGGTTTTGAAAGAAAGTGGTTATGGCCTGAATTGAAGTACTGTATGAGCATACGTCTGAAAGACTGAGGAAAGCTGCAGTAAGCCTCGATCAGGATAGCTGCTATTGTGGCTGAGATTGGAGTGCCTCACACAGTTGAGTGCAGAGCATTACTGCTGGTATAATCTGCTCTGTAGGTAAATGTAAGTGATGAAGAATGCCGTTTTCTGGGGTGTGGCTCTGTGTACGTAGATAACGTCACGTTCTCTATTTTTTTTAGAATACCAGACGATGTACAAAGTCCAAAAACCTTGTAATTCCAGATACTTTATCATCCTTACACTACAAAATTTGGAACCTGAACATGCCTCAAATGTCTGCCCTTGTCAGCCTGCCTGCCATGATCTCTATATTATATTTGAAGACAGCCTGGCAGTTCACAAGCTGGTTTCCTTGGTATTACTGTGGAGTGCCTGCAGGAAACAAGCTGTTTATTTAAATATAGCTGAAAGGCTTAACTCTTGATGTCCAGTTTTTATCTGGAACTTATAAGTTTAAAAATGCATTANGTGAGTTGAGGGACACCTACTCTGTTGGGTCCCATAGAAAAAGCTAATCTCAGTCACCTTCAGTGAAACAGACCTAGTTTCTGAAATGTCATGTTCTCTATTTTTTTAGAATACCAGACGATGTACAAAGTCCAAAAACCTTGTAATTCCAGATACTTTATCATCCTTACACTACAAAATTTGGAACCTGAACATGCCTCAAATGTCTGCCCTTGTCAGCCTGCCTGCCATGATCTCTATATTATATTTGAAGACAGCCTGGCAGTTCACAAGCTGGTTTCCTTGGTATTACTGTGGAGTGCCTGCAGGAAACAAGCTGTTTATTTAAATATAGCTGAAAGGCTTAACTCTTGATGTCCAGTTTTTATCTGGAACTTATAAGTTTAAAAATGCATTAAATAGAGTTTGTTTTTTGAAACATCATTTCAGAAAATTAAGACTGAAAAGCAGGCTGTTAGCTAATACACCTGGGGGTTAAGCACCATCTTTTAGAGACTGAACATATTCTCCAGGTTCTGTACTAAAATGGTCATTTTCTCCTCTGTTTTTAGCAACTAGGTTTTGTGTAGTGATAAACTTGTATTCAAGAACTACACAGTTCAGACATTGGCCACAGAACTGACCATCATAAATATTTGCCTGCCTTTCCTCATCTGCAGTACCTTGAAATAGGTTATGGCTTCTTGCTCTGATGTGTGCTGCAAGTTGTGATTTGTAATAATTTTAGGGTCCTGAAATATGTTATATAGTCCCGTTTAAAATGATGATGCTATTTTCTCATTGGAGAGTACCTTCTTCTAGTATTTGATGCCATGTAGCCCAATAGAGGTTCACTGATGTTTTGAAGGAATGTCAGTGAACTTGTATATGGCATCACATCCCAAAAGATGGTAGTTTTCATATTCACTGCTGTGAGAACCTCATATGCAACATAATGAGCATTATTGTTTGTCATATCTGTTTTAAGCTGCACTTTCTTGCTATCATTGAACACTACTTTGGTTGTGCCGCTTGCTTTAATTCTATCCTATCCTTTTTATCTTCAACCTTACTCCTACCAGCTGTGGATGGATGAATGACATAAAACTGTATGCATACACACTGATAATGAGAAATATGAAACTCATGTCAGGGACTGTGCCATTGCTCAAATTAATGGTTAAATCACCTGCTTCCCACTACAGTGGCTCAGGTTTTGTTACAGATCAGTTCTTAATGGGGCTTGTGATGGACATATTGACAATGGGCAGGTTTCCTGAGTACTTCAGTTTCCTCTACCAATTCTCATTCCACCAGTTCCTTCACATTCCTTAATTATCCTATCATCTGATGCTCTGTTGTCTTGATAGTGATGGCCTCATTAAATAACCAGCTACAAGAGAAGCTCCTGCCATTTGTTGTTTCTATCCATGAACTACTAGAAGAGATGTTGAAAAGAGCAAAGAACAGATATAACACTCAGCACACACTTATAATTTGGTGGTGGATATGTTCTGACACTGGAACTGAGTGAGAAAATTAAAATATCAGAAGCCTTTGAACAGGGGACAGGTAAGGCTTAGTACATGAAGCTTAACTTTGAAACACTTTCATATAGCTAGGGATCTCTGCATTGGTGTATACTACATCATCGCCACACAAAATTGCAGACATGTTCATTTTCATAAAGATACATTTATAACAGATTTAATCCTTAAGCATAACAAGCATCTGATATGCTCCATCCTGCATGTAACTATCTTTTTGGGCCCATATACTTTCCCCATATTTCTAAATAGCTTCTCTTTGGTTCTTTTCACAAGGATGAGAGATCAGCTTCACATCCACATAGTAAAGTATAAGTTTATACTTTCACATACACAGTGTGTCCAGGTTCTGTTAGGACTGTGTTCATTAAAAATACAAGATGTGAATTATTTTCAAAATTTCACTCTTTTTATTCAAAATAGTCTCCTTCTTAATCAATACATAGCTGGAATCGATTGAAAAGTTTCGAAAACAGTCACTTTACTCCTTTTGTGGAATCGCATTTAAAACTGTGGTACATTCCCTTTGGATGTCCTGGATGGTGTCATGACAGTCTCCTTTCATCGCCAACTTAACTTTTGGGAACAACCAGAAATCTGCTGGAGCCAAATCTGGTGAATATGGAGGATGATGAAGGACTGTGATCCCTTTTCTGGCCAAAAAATCGCGCATGATCTTCAATTTGTGGGTGGGGCATTGTTGTGGAGGAGCAACCAGGAACCTTGCTCTCGATATTAAGGTCGAATTTGAAGAATTCTCACCCACAAACGATTGAGGACTCCGAGATAATAATCAGAATTCACTGTTTGACTTTCTAGCAGAAATACCTTGTGAATCATTCCTTTGGAATCGAAGAAAACGGTTAGCAGTGTCTTTACTCGACTCTTTTGCATATACACTTTCTTTGGTTTTGGCTGGTTTCTTTGGGCTCAACCACGCTGCACTTTGCCACTATGTGAGAGGCTCATACTGAAAACACCATGGCTTGTCACCAGTAATAATCAATTTTGTATCACTTTGGGCCAACCGTAACATGTCTTTGCAGTGTTCCACTCTGGCATGTTTTTCATCACCTGACAGCGCGTGCGGTACAAATCACCCACAGACCTGCCATTTGTCCAAATCCTCGGTCAAAATTTGATGCACAGTACTTTTTGGTATTCCCAAAAGCTCCTAGATGAGTCTTGCAGAAACACATCTGTCTGATGCGATGCAAGGATTTCGGTAACTTTTTTCACATTTTCTTCAGTGCAACTTGTTCTCTGCTTTGATGCACATGGAGCATCTTCAGTGTCCTCCCTTCCATCATGAAAAGCAACATACCATCGAAAAATGTTCAAGCGATTCAAACAATCACTACCATACACACTTTTCATCATTTTGTACACTTCTCTGGCTGTTCAAACAAGATTTGATGTTGGCTCCGTTCAACTGCCATTTTCCGACGAGCGTCAGAACAGTACTGTGACATTCAAGGTCAGGATACATGATGCAGCGATGCTTGCACTTTAAAATTATAGACAGCCACAGCTGAAACTTCGAGAATCTTAACACTACAACTCACCAACAGATGGCATTGCAGGGCAAAATTAAAAAAAAAATAGTCTCAATGGATCCTGGACACACTGTGTATTTAAACTAAATGATTTTTTGGATGCAGGTTAAGAAAATAAAGTATTCTAAACTGAATGATATGACACATTTTCTGAGTTTTGCCTTCTTTTTATGGACCGGGATAATTCAAAAGGTATAGCAACTTGTTCCAGGCTGAGTGGCTGACAGGTCGGAATTTGAGTTCTGGTAAGGGCAAGATTTTTCTACTCTCCATGTCATCCAGGCCAGTTCTGGAGTCCATCCAGCCTCTTTTGCAGTGGGTACTGGAGGTTGTTCCCCACTGACCTCCATTTAGTGCCAAGGTCAAGAATAAGTAGATCTATACATCCACTCCACAATCCATCTTCATGGCATGATGCTTAATTAGTTAAGCTCGGGGACAACCTCATGAATATAATTTATGTTTGTGTCATAAATACCAAGCCGCATTTTTATAAGATTTATTTACAGTTGAATTATTATGATTTAATTTTTTCCATTTTGTGCATCCTGTTGTGTTGTTATATTCAATTCTTTATTGGAGTCCGTCTTAACACAACAACATAACAGTCAAGGTTAATATCACCTTAGCTACATATTTCAGCTTTACGAGTACTATCACAGTGAAATTGCAGTTCAATGATGTGTGAATATAGTAATCATGTGTTTTGCCTGATGATGGCATTAAAAGCCGAAACATGTAGCTAAAGTAATGTTAACCTTGACCATTATGATGTGTTAAGACAGACCAATAAAGGCTTGTATATTATGATTTAGTCTTCATCATGAGACATAAACATGTTCCCAGTTCTAAATTTATCTGATTTTTCAGAAACCAGAGTTTATATGAAGTTCAGCAGCTGTATGATGAACAGCAGTATGATAAACTGGTAGAAATTCTTCAGGAGACTTTCCACTATTCGCAGCAGTCACAGCTTCCATCTGCTTTAATCAACAACAATGCTTGTCCAGACCGTGCTACACAACTTGCAATGTTAATGGATGCACTCTGGCAGTTGAAGAGATATCAGGTACTGTATATTATAATGTTGGTTGTTTGTGACTTGTTGAACAGGCACAAGAAAGGATTCAGGGGAGCATTTCAGTCATGTAATCTATTGCATCTTCATTGATGAATTTTAGTATCATTGGTGGTCATTCTTTCTACACGTGTTAAGAAGTAAGTACTAAAAGAGTTAGCTGTACATTTAGGATTGTTTATGATATCAGTTATCATCATTGATGAACTTTATTCCGCTGTAGAATATTTACTGTTCCAAGTTTTAAAGTTTTATGGACTGTTTTTACTTTGTTATTGCAGTGTGATGCCTGTGTTTTTTTTCTTGCATACATTTGGCCTTTAATAGTTTAAATTAAAAGTTTGGTTTTTTATTACATGGCTGTTATAGTTGCTCAGGGGCATGTGGTAGTGTAGTTGGTTGAGGCACTATGGCCCTGGAGCCAACTCAGCCTATAACAGAACCGAGTATCAGAAATTTTCCCGGAGGGTAAAGGGCAGCAGGTGCATATGGCTGACAACCTTACCATCATCTGTGAGCCGATTGTCTGGAAAATGTGGGAGCCTCGACATCTCAGAGCCCTATGAGCCTTCACAGGCTGTTACAGGGATATTTTTACCTTACCTTGTGGTATGGCATTGCCCTGAAATAACACAAATTTATGTCAGCAAGACCTACAGTTCTGTGCATTATGGAGGATTCCTAATAGACTGTATGGTTACAGCAGGAACCTAAATAACTTTATAGCCTCTCTGCACCTACTGTAAGCCATAAAATGTTCCTGAAGAGTCATGTAAATTTAATGAAGCTATTTGCTGGCTGCTGCCATGTTTCTGAAGGCACTTATATTAAGTCTTAATGACTTGCTGACTTGCCTAAATTGTGCATGGATACAGCTATATTTTAAGTAATTCTTGAGAATACACCAACCCAATTAAGAGTAGGTTGCAACCTCGTCAGGTGGCACAGTCTGCAATTTGAGAAACCATGTTACTGTAAAATCCCTTTTTAACGAATGTCTAGGGGAATGGTTTTTCTTTCACTGAATAGTGGTTGTGCAATGATTACATCTTTTAAGTGCTGATTGTAACTAATTCTAAACTTTTCAAGAACTTGGTTGTCTTCTTCCTCATAGACACTGTAATGAACAATAAACAAAATAATAATATTGACAGAGTTCAGAACTCTCATACATCACCACCGTCGAAGATTGCAGTTGAAAGTGATGATTGGTGGCAAAGAGAGAACTTGAATATCGGTTTTCATTTCAACCATGATCACACGATATTAACATATGAAGATCAAACATTTCTAATGCTAAATGCAGGGTATTTACTAAATCAAAATTCACCAAATACAGAGAATAATACATTGTTTATATGGTACTTTGGTTTGGACCACAATAAATATTCACTAAATAATGGAATTTCACTATTAAAATTATATCGTTTCAGTGTACTGTGATTGAAATTTTTGTTTCTTGAGCTGTAATTGAAATGTAGCTTGGTGACTGAATATGATGCTGCCTCATTTCATTCCTTAAATATTGTGGTGTGCCACCTAAAAGCCAGCAGACATCCATTGTTAGACAATGGCTCGGTATCCATGGTTTCATATCATTGTCAGGGTGACAATGAAACAGGTTCACATGACAACACGTACAAATCAGACGTTACCACAGAAATGAAAGCCAGGACTATTGCAGTTTCTGCTGTAGTGAAAACAGCTACTGGTGCATAGAGCACGTGAAACGGAACCCTTAAAGAAGGGGTCTTCTAGGCCATCCAACTGTCAGTTACAACATGCCAAGAAAGGTCAGAATTGAGGACACGGAACAGAGGAGAATTGAGAAGAGGTCAGACCAGAACAGAGGCGAACAGAGCAGAGCTAAGAGCAGAAGAAACCATCTCAGCTAAGGAACAGAAGACAACAGACTAGTCAGATTGCATCATTTGGAAAACGTTATTTCTGAGTGATTATAATTGCAATTGTAAACAACTTATCCAATAAACAACTTCATCTAATTGGGAGCCAATTAATGTCTTGTTGCATTACCAGGACACATGACAATATCAAGGCAGTCCCCTGCATATGCGAGAGAAGAGAGTATTTGTATGGCCTAAGTCATGACCTTCTAAAGAGAAGACCCCAAGTTATAAACCAGCTGCATTCCACAAGTCCTTTCTTACAACTTGGTTTGTAACTCTAATGTAGGAAAACCTCTTCACCATTCAGATAATAGTGATAATAATTCGTGTGTTGAAGATTACTGTATTCTGGGGCATATTGCCTTGTAGTCCACTGAATGTCAATTGACATCTTGGAGGAACATCTCCATGTTCATGGTCAAAGAATAATCCTAGCAAGGAATCAGTGTGCAAGCAGTTCTCAAGTAAAGCGATCTTCTTAAGGCTCTGCTTACCCCCTGCTTCCATGCTGATTTCTTACTCAGTATATTCTTTGACCCTGAAGATGGAGGTGGTATGTTCCTCCATAACATCAGTGGACTTTCGAGAGACTACTCACAATTGTATCCCAGAAGATAGTACTCTTCATAACCACTGCTGTGAAAACTACAGATGCTATGTAACCTGTATGTTTAGGATTGTTTCTTCTGGGGAGAGGCATGCTGCAATGAAGCTCTACACAAGTACCTGAATTCTGAGGACAAAGAACAGAGCAAGTGGGCATCTACTGTTGAAAAACTACTTTCCGGCCTGGAATCCTGTGTGAACAAGGCTGGACTTTCAGTTAGTAAGTATTCGTAAAACACTGCATGGCTGGAAGAAAGATAACACCATTGATATTTGAGCTCAAGACTGCAACCTTGTGACTCACTACCAATTTACTCTATGCCTTATGTAGTAGAAGTATACAGGGTGTTTCACGACCTTAGGGCATAACTGTAGGAGGTGATTTCCTAGGTCTTTGTGATAAAAAAAAGTTCATATAAACATGTGTCCGATTTTGGACGGTTATGGAGTTATGACCGTTTCTTCATTCCCGTACACGCCCTCGTGTGAACAGTGTCCATCATCTGGCAGGTCACTATTTTTAGCCAGCTACAGACAGCGTTCTCGTTATCTTGACACTTGAGAGGTACCTAAGGCATGGTGGGTTGATATGTCCGGCCACGGCTAGTGTGGTGGCTACTGGTGTTCAGAACAGTTCTCATCTCGGTGTGTCTGTTACGTTCAAGATGCCATTTACATTTTCATTTGAGGAGTATGCAGATATAATTTATATGTACAGGTTTTGTGACGGTAACTCAGTTCTTGCCTTAGCTGAATATCAGCAACGGTTTCCGAATCGTAGAATACCAAACCGGAGAATGTTTACTGGAGTTTACCAGGCATTGCAAGATACAGGTAGACTTCCCAGCATTTGTATTGCAGCCGAGCGTGGTGTTAATGAAGGCGTCAGTGAAGAAGGCATTGTTCGTATGGTACACCGCAGTCCACGTACGAGTACGCAAAGAATTGCCAGCCAGGTCTCCAGACTTAAGGCCACTGGATTATTGTGTGTGGGGATGGATGAAAGAACTGGTTTACAATGTGAAGGTGGCAACGCGAGATGCTTTGCTCGGTCGCATTCTGGATGCCGCTGACCACATAAGAAACAGCCAGCTGAAGCTGCTACCTGCGCGGTTCACAACCGAGCGACAGCCCGTGTTGCGGCCTGCAGTCTCATTTTCGAAAATCAGCTTTAAGCACCAATAAATTAAAATTAAAGGTAATTTCACGAAGTTAACATTACATTCATACTTTAACCTCTAAGAGACGGGCCATTTAAATTCCGGTAATGGCAGCGGGACGGAGTTAATTTAAATGCCCGCCATTGTAGAGTAATAAAAATTGTAATCATGTTACTCAAAATGCTGTGATTTCTACAATTTTTATGATGAACGAAATAAACGCTACTTTTATCTAGAAAGAATATAGAATCAGATACTGTAATTTACAGATTTTAGAATCTGTAAAAATTGTTACATTGATTCCAAAAAAAAAATTTTTTTCCCAATTTTGAGTGTCTGTCCACAAATATGCAGAAAGTTTCTGCAGAAAACGTTTCTGCAGTATAAATGCATGCTGCTGACATCCTCTTTTCCTATGTCTTATCTTTCAAAAGGGGAGGAAGGTAATGTTTGTACTACACATTCTCCAGTCATGTCGTAACCTTTCTACTATTGCACGAGTGGGCTCAAGTCTTATCGTACTTTGTACTTCAGAAATTCTGCCTGTTTATATCTCGGGCTAGCCACACAGAGGTACTCTTCTTGGAATAGCCCCGCAATGCCTTTCAGTCTCGTCTGTACCGCATTATGAATCAGTGTGATTTATGAGCGGCCTCTCAATTTTGGCTTCTTCCATGCAAAATGGGGCCATGGTGATAGTTCAGATTGCGATGTTTTATAAGTGTTATGGTTCTGTTTACATCTCGGACTAAACACGCAGAGCTACTGTTCTTGGAATAGCCTCGCAATGCCTTTCAGTCTTGTCTGTACCGCATTCTGAATCGATGTAATTTATGAGCGGCCTCTCAATATCGGCTTCTTCCATGTGAAATGGGGCCATAGTGGATAGTTGAAATTGCGATGTTTTATAAGCGATACGATTAGAATTGTCCTTCAGAAACCCTGACTGTGCATATCTCAAACTAACCACACAGAGTTACTGTTCTCGGCATAGCCCTGCACTACCAGAACGTTCTAGCCTAGTGCATTGTGTTGTGAATAAAACATTGCAATTTAAACTAGCCAGTATGGCCTCATTTCACTTGGAAGAAGACGAAATTGAGAAGCAGCTGATTATTGACACCGATTCAGACTGCGGTACAGAAAATTCTGATAGTGGCAAGGAAACAACGGGCTCAGAACCCGAAGTTGACGAAGACCCATCATCTTCGTCGGCAACCTGGGGACCACCACACCAGCATGGCAGGAGGCGTGTGAATAATTATTCTGGTGGAGCTGTGGGGTTAAATATCAGTGAAGCTCTACACGTAAATAAGGATTCCACCCCTTTCTGCATTTTCATGCTGTACTTCGCAGGGATTATCTGTCTGCTGGTGGAAGAGACGAATAGGTACTACCACC